AAATGTCATGAGAACTATGTTTCCCTTGCAGAGTTCAAGTTTATGAAGATAAATTATATCATGTTGAAAAGCTAAAGCATAACGTCCGTACCCACCTCTTAAGCTGGGACTTGTACATGTCATTTGCCTCCAAAGCCTCTGCTAATTCGTTCTCCAGAGACTGAATCTTTAACAAAGGATCAATCTCTGTACTCTGAGAATTTCTGGCGCCAAGGCTTTGCTCATTATCATCCTGAAACAAGGAAATGGTGTTGATCATGGTCAAGAAGGAATACTACAGGGAATGATATGATATGTACCAATCATCTGAGTGATCAGAGAATATGCAAGAAAAATAAGGGCAAATTAATATGTCATTGAGTTTTGTTTATATGTTAATGTAATTGGTCAGGTTGTCCAAACGCTTCCATCCAAATTGCAGAATATTATCTTCTTGTCCTTCTACCAATTGTCAAGCCTAAGCTCCAACCCAATGTTTGCATTAAATGTCCCAAGCAATTATGAGGTACGAAAAATTGAAGATACTGACCACCATTGAGAGATTGCAGTCGCCATTGGTTGAAGTCCTTGCACAATCGCACTCAGGATAAGGAGAAAGAACTGAATTGCACGACTTGGAGAGATCCTGATCTACTGTTTTCTTCAGCTTCAGCTCCTCTTCAAGAGCTTGAACCCTTCTCATGCACTCTTCTTTCTCCTCCTGAAGACATTTCATCTTTCTCTGGAACCGGCTATTTTCTCTCCTAATCCGAGCAAGCTCATTTTTCAGAGCTGCTTCTTGAGAACCTTGTGCTTCTCTTGCAGCTAAATCACCCTCCAGCCGCAAAAGCTTTTCCTCAAGGGCAACTTTTCTATTTTTGCAGTTTTCTAGTTCGGAAATTGCATTCTGATTAACAGAAATCTTCTGGACAAACAAGGTTCTTTCAGCCTGAATTTCTTCATGATCTCTGGATAATATCTGAAGTGAAGCTTTGAGCCTTTCGTTCTCAAGCTTGACCTCATTTAGCATTCTCTTAAGAGACAAAATTTCATCCTGCAGCAGTGCTGTCTTCTGCAATTGAACATTCAAGCTTGAAATTTCTTCTACTAGCTGTAGCCGCTCATATTCAGAAGCTTTTGCTTTTAAATCAAGCCCTCGAACAGTTGTTTTAAGTTTCTCTTCATTGGATTTGACATCCTCAAGCAAATTCAAAAGCTTTTCATGGTCAGCCATCAGAACTTCTTGGTTGTGTTTCGAAGCCACAAGCTCACCAGTTAACTCTTGTATCTTTGTTTCAGATTCCATTTGGTGAGCAGCGAAGTTGCTCTCAGATAGCTTAAGCCTTCCTTGGACTTCTTGAATAGATGCTTCAAGAACAGTTT